CTTGTTCATTTTCTGGAGTAAAGCAAAAACAGAAAAGCTTTCCTATTTGTGAAAGTTCCCTTCCAAGCTATTGCATTGCTCCAAACTGGATGGATGGATTGTCTTGTCCAAGAGGAACCTCATCACAGGATCTATCTGTAACACTGGCTTGGTGCATGCAGTCTCATCTCCCTGTTTTGGCTGCCACCAAAAAAAGTAATAGCCTGGAGTTACTCATTGGGCATTTGTCTGTTGGGTTCTCACTGTTTGGCTGTGGTGTCCGTGAAGGTAACCCATTTACCATAAATACAATTAAAGTGTAAAGAGTCATACTGAAGAATTGTTCTCTTTCTGCTGTGTTTAATTAATGTAATAGCTATAGCTGGAATAAATGCAAAAATAAAATAACTTGAATGATTCTTATGGCAGGTGTCTGGATTTAATCTGTGTACAAGTGGGGATGTGGGGGGGGGGGGAGTGGGTTGTCTGTTTGGAAGCGAGATATGTGGGGAATGTCTAATCTTCTAATTTTGATCTTAAATTCTGGTTTTGAAGGACACAAGACAAGACAACACTGGACTCATCACAAGTGATGGTTCTCTCTTTCGGATTATAATTTTTCTGCAAATGCCACAGACATTTGTATTCAGTGTAAAATTGATTTTTAATAAAGAAAATTTACAATTAGCATGTCTAGTTGAGTGTATTTCCCAGAATATTTTCCTGCTGGATTAATTACAAAGCAATAAAGTAACTAATGTAACTAACAAGATGTGTCAGGTATCACCCTGTTCACTTTATTTGTATTTCAGACCCCTTTCCTAAACACTTTGACTGTTTGACTTTTTAGTTAGAAAGCTCTTTGGGACAAGCTCTTTCTTGTTCTTTGTTTGGAAAAGGTCTAGCACATAGTGGGCACTACTAGAACGTAAATAATAATACAAGTGGGGAACAAGTTCAAGCTATAAAGACTTGTGTGCTTTGTGGGGCTTGGTGTCACACAGGACAGCCCTAGAGGGTACAAATGGTGTCACCAAAAGCACCTGATTAGGGGTTGGTATCCTAACCCTGCTGCTTTCCTTCTCTCATTCAAAAGACATCTCTTGCACGGAAGGTCTGCTTCAGTGGCTCTCAACCTACCAGCCCTGAGGTCCCATCACCAGAGACAGGAGAGACTGATAGGAGGTATTTTCTCTGCGGAGGTAATGCTGTGCTAGCGACATTTAATAGAAGAAAGCTTGAAATAGAGTTGTTCTATTGCTAACATTGTAGCAGAAAATGGCAGCACTGGCTTGCCCTGCCTTCTGCACCTGCAGTGCAGCTTTACTGACATTCAGTAACCTATAAAGGAAGAAACAAGCAAATCACCGAGGGAGTACATCTCTCCATCAGGGACCATAAATAGGAGTGCCTTGTGCAAGTGGAACCTGAGAGTGGGAAGTGCTCTGTAATCCTGTATCAAATATCTCCGAATGATTTAGCTGCATCCAGAGGAATTCACAAATATGGTTCTTCTGCCAAGAGAAGAATGAAACACTTTCCCATTTCATTTCTAAGTGGTGTCAGTTTCCTTCTCTAGTGGGGAGCCTGCTGCATTAGTGTGGCTGCCAAAATGGTCATTGTATTCCCTCTGCTTGCAGACATAACTTTATGAATAGGCAGCTCTGTCCCTGAAGGTACATGTTTTAATACTTGGTCCATGACTTTCATGGTCCTCATCCCTATGCTTCTAAGTGCCCTTTCCACGACCTTCCCCAGGGGTGGGACATAGGCTCAGAGTTTTTAATCTGCCAGGGGGTGCTTTGCCCAGGCCCTGCCTCTACTCCACCCCTTCCCCCAAGACCACCCTCACCCTGTCTCTTTCCGGCCCCACCCCCGCCTCTTCCCCACCCAGTTCTGCCCCCTCCCCAGAGCACGCTTTGCCCTCCTGCCCAGCGCCTCCTGACGCCACGAAACATCTGATCCACAGCAGGCAGTAGGTGCTGAGAGGGAGGGGAGGCGTTGATCGGCGGCGCTCGCCGATGGGCAGGAGGCACTGGGTGGAGGTTTTAGTAGGGGGGCTCCTCGCCCCAGCTTGCCGCTTGCCTCCCCATTTGCCTCCTCACCCCGCTCGCCTGCCCGCCTCCTGCCTCACCTCCCGGCCTGCCTTCTCACAATTTTATTGAAGCTTGGGGTCCCCCAAAGCGCAGGGCCTGGGGCAGTTTCCTTGATTCGCCATACCCAAGGGACAGCTCTGGCCCTTTCTGATTGGCTATTTGTTTTCCTTTTACCTGGATTTAGATGGCTTAGGGTAGTGGCTTAGGGGAAAGGGCCTGTTCACAGTTTCTCCAAAGTGAATGGAGGGAAAAAGGATGCCTGAGGACTGATGGGGGGGGTGTTAAATGAGTGAGTTTTGGTTAGCCACAGCTGTGCTGTGCTTTAAAATGGTGTTCAGAGGCACACACTTTGAACATTTTGGTATTCTTTAAAGACAGATAAAAAGAAGTTCAGAGACCAAAGCTTTAGAGTTCTCATTGTCAAGAGATACTGAGTGATATAAAGCAATTATTAGAATTACATATTTATTTTATAAATTGAGTAAGTAAATTTGGGATTAAAGTTGTAAAATGTTTGAAAGACATGTAATTTAAAACTTTAAACAAAATCAGAAAATCCTGGAAATACTCACTGAAGGTTCCAAGATCACCTTTAACTCTGCCGCTTGTCTCCAGCCCCAAACCCCGCTAACTTCCAGCTATATTCCCCAGTAACTTAGAAAACCAAAACAGTTCACCTGGACACTCATCCCCACTCTCACTGACCAGAAGCCGAAGCCTAGTTCCCTTTCCTATTCTATTCTGTAGAGATTCTTATACTGCACTCATCACCATAGTATCTGAAGCTCCTCAAATGTACTTAGGTACATAAATACCTTTGAGGATCTGGGCCTGAGTGTCTTCCATTGGTACCTTCAGCAACGTGACTATGCGTCTGTCACATGAGGTTTGTTCTGTCATCCTCTTCCCAGGCAGAGAAGTGTGTGCAGTGGGGTGTTTTGTTTTGGAATGTATTCATTGACACACCTGTTGCTATATGTTCCCTGCCCTCACAGTTCAGGCCAGAAAGCTCTTCACATATGATCTGCACAAGCTCCTGCCCACATCCACCACCTGTCTATACCGCAGAGCCTGTTCATTCTCTCCATACTGATCAGAGAGCTCACACTCCAAATACAAGAACCCAGCCTAAACTGCTATAGACTACAAGTCTCAAATGCCCTACAGGCACTGGCAAGATGCCCCTTAACTCCCATGTCTGATACAGGCCAGAAGGGTGAGTGTAGGGTAGATTATTTACACAAAAACACCAGACTAAGGCAGTTCCTGAGACAAAAAGAACCACTTAACATTTTTTACTTTACAATTTAGGTCCCGGTCCTACAATGAGCTGCTTGTGTTCAGATCTCTGTGCCCAAAACAAGCCCCACTGATGTTGGGCTTTGCAGAGGGGTCATTGCAGGAATGGGAGTCTCAGTCAGGAACAAAGAAATAAGGGTAAAGGGCAGAGTGAAGAGTGGTTTTTGAAATCTTAACCATTTCCAGACTCTCTCATGCGTAGGGGTTTTTTTTAACCACATCCTAATACTTGGTAGATTTCTGTTGTTTCCTTAAGTCAGACTGTTTCACATTCAGTTTTTTTTAATCACTAATATTTTTGAAAAATGTATTGATTTAAATTGATCAAGAACAAGTTTCAGAGGAGGCAGTCTGTGGAAGGCATTTGCCTTCTTCCGGCAGCTTCTCTATGCCTCTGTACTCCATGAAAGCCAATTAGCTGATTGGAGGAGAATTTCCCCTGGTGCAGGCACTATGCAGGATTTCACAAGCCCCAGCATAGGGGGTGTTTTATGGGTGGGTAGGAGGTGAGGCAGCACAGGAAGGAAGGAGAGAAAAATTAGAGCAGTTTCTTGTGCTCTGTGCTGGTGGCTCCATTGAATTTTGAACAATCTATTGAAGCAAGTAAAAGATCCATCACATAAGATGTTAGCACCTGAGGCATGGCAGGCTGGGAGCATTGCACAGCCTCTGGGAGCTGGTGGACCTCTCAGCTTTGGCTGGCAGTTACCAACATGGTTTTATGAAGTGGCTGCAGGAAGATGCACTTAGGAGAGGCGAAGTCATCAATGGGGAGTTGTAAAATGATTGGTGTGGGGAGGAGGCTTTGGAGGAGCATCCTGAGTGGCAACAAAGGGCAGCGTAGGCTGATGAGGATGAACTCATGATACTGGGCTGGATTCAGAGAAGTACTTAAGCCTTTGCCCAACTTTAAGCATGTGCATAGTCCCAATGACTTCAGATTAGTCACGTGCTAAATTCCTTCCAGACTGGGGGCTACTATCACTCAGAATGTAAGACCTGGGTGTTTTTCTACAAAAAGTCTCCTTCTGGCATCCCAGCCGGGCAGATATTGATCAAGATTATGTGAATGTTTGTTGACTTCATGTATGTCTATTGTAGTAAAGGGGGGAGAGTGAGCTGGAATTTTTAATGGTTTTTAATACTTTTAATTGCAAAATAAAGGATACATTCTCAAAATGACCTTTTGACATTTCCCCCCATTGGTTTGTTGCATCTTTTACCATGACAAACCACCAGCCTTAATTCTCTTTGGGCTCTAAAGACAGTTCTGGAAAGGGGAACACATAACTCATGTTTGGCATCCCATTTCGTCTGGCATAGTCATTTTGTGAAGTCCTCAGAGAGCGAGATCTGCCAGAGCTTTGGGGGACCCTCTAGGGCTGCACCTTGCTCTGTCTCTTCTGGAAGAGAGACTTCATAGCTCTTGGATTGCACATGACGCTCCTGGAAATGAGAGTGGTGGATAGGGAAGTGACCCCGATCCCAGGGTGTGCAATGACTTCTTCATACATTCCATACAAAAAGCTCTACAAGATCATCAGCTACACCTGTACATTGAATGAACCGGCTCACAGAGCTTTTCAGTATTATCCGGAATGCATATCTGCACTTCAGACTGTTGGGAGATACAACCAATAACCCTTGTTAGTATCTACAAAACTACTATATAGGTGTGGTGATGGAACAGGCCTTCCACTTGGCTTAGTAATAGATGCAAACATCTCAGCCTAGCTCATCACAGAAAGGAGGAGTTATAGTTTGATTTGGAAAAAGCCGGGATACAGGACTGACAGACCCTAAATCATAGTCCTCTCAACAGTGCTGGCACAAGAGGGAACCAGGTGGCTTCTCCTCTTTTATCAGTTAGGAAGGTTAAATGTTAAGGAATTTATGTCAACAGAAATACAAGTCAGTGCAAAGAGAACTTGGAGCTTAATTTCATGAGTTCAGTGAGTTTCCATCCCTAGGCAAGTGGCTGATCAAGGATGGCACTACAGAACAATATCAGTTGCATTCATGGCAACTGATCATGGGACTCTGCTCAGGTCAGCTGCTCATACCTCCCTCCCTCCCCTGCCCTCCCCAAGTCTGCTGCGACAGCAAGAGAGAGAGTAATTGGCTAGCAATTTCTTCTGCTATACTATTTCACAAATGCACACTAAAAAGTACACTCAAATGTTTGGATCCAGCGTGCAAAGGCTAAGAGGCACTCTTACAGGAAGCAGCTGGGGAGCCAGGAAAGGGACCCGCATTCTCTCATCTCACCCACTTCCTCCATCTGTTCCGTTACGAGCTCTATTGTAGGAATTATTGTTTTGCATCTATCACATGGGCGTGTTGATAGTCCTGTTGATATCTGATGCGAGTCCTGGGGCCTGGAATTTTGGAACTGATCATTGCAGTATTTAAAAGTTATCATATTAACTCCAAACAGATGGTAAAACAGAAATGCTGTTGGGTGTAGGACCTTGCTTCACTTGGCCAAGAATTCTTTGCCCTTTATTAAGACCCTCCATCAGGGACCTCTGTGATTTATAAACAGGAATGATATTAGCCCTGTTTTACAGACGGGGACACCAAAGCACAGAGAGGGAAGGTGACTTGCCCAAGGTCACACAGCATGCTAGGGCAGCACTAGGAATAGAATTTAGATCTTCCAGCCAGATGACATAACCACCATCCTTCTTCCCTATAGGTCTAAGGCATGAGGCCTCACTTGCTTTGAGCTACAACGTATAACACAGAGATCCCCAAACTGTGGGGCGTACTCCCATAGGGGGCGTGGCTGGGGCCTGGGCTAGCCCCCGTGGGGGGCAGATAGGGGGCGCCACCCAGCTCCGCTCCCAGTCCCAGCTGCTGGCCCTGTGCCAGTGGCTCCAGTCCCAGTCCCGAGCCCAGGGCTGCAGAAGACAGTCCCATTCCCGGGGCTCTGCTCCTAGTGCCTGGCTGTTGGCCCCGTGAGGTAAAAAGTTTGGGGATCACTGGTATTAAGAGTGACATAAAATACTGGCAGTTCACGTATGTAATAGATAGACCTCACCAGAAGGGAGGGCACGCTTCAGACCAGATTAGATATAGTCATAATAAATGGTGCTATTGCTGTTTGTACTAGTAACATTACCCACAATGTAGGCCGGGCCCACAGCTGCTTAGCTCAGGCCAGCCTCTCTCTGATCAAGCTGCAGCATGACATAGTCTTAGGCCACTTCCCATGCAGATTTAACTCTGGAGTAGTTCTTGGAGGCAGCTGGAAGATTTAAACACATCCGGGATGTCACTGTCCAGTTTTGAAATTATTTTGTAAATGGGTTTCTTCCAGGAGGGGTCAGAGTCCTTCCCTGTCCTGACAGCACTGAAGAACTCCCGCAAGGTCCTGCTAGCAACCTCCAGGAAGCGATCAGGGACCTGCAAACAAAGAGAGAAGGAGACTTAGGAGGCAAGTGTGCTCTTCTGGAAGTCCCAGGAGGATGGGAAGGGCTGCTGCACACCCTGCCAAACATACACAAGGAGAGGGGGTTCTTCTGGCCTCCCCCCTGGCAGAGACAGATACTGGCAGCCTTCCCAATCCCCGCAGGGGTGGATACCCAGCTCCCCAGCAGCTGAACCTCTCTCCAATCTCCCCTCCCAGACAAGTAGCCCAGCTGCTCATTCAGGTTAGCAGGGTGGTTGATTCCCCCAAATAACCTCCACTACTTTCCCATATGGTGCTTCCCAACCAGGACACAGTTTCATCCTCAGGGACAGCAAGGGCAGAAATCTGCTGTAGTTCCTCCATTTAGGGGAGAAGATCTGGTTAGTCCTGCCCTACAGGACGATGGGTGAGCACTCATAATGTTCCCACATAAGGAACCCGTGATTCCGCACTAAGCAGACATACAGTTCAGACTGCCCTCTCCAAGTCCATGGTGATTCCCATGAGGGCCATAAGATGGCAGGTTGTCCCAGAGTACATAAGGCACCATCCAGAGCCTCGCCCTTCACATCTCAGGACAGTTAAAGCCTTTGCGAAGAAAGTCAGAGTTTCATCTGGGCACATGGGGGTGACAGGTCCCTCCTGAGACTTGGACACTTGGTGACCATGGAGACAGGCACTGGTTAAGAATACAGATAATCAGATGGAGAGGTCTGATCAAGCACAGGACTGGGAACCAGGAAGTCCCAATCCCAGCTGTGACACGACTCCCAGTGTGTGAGCTGGGACAAGTCACTTACCCGCGCTGTATTTTGGATTCCCCATCTTTACAATGGGACTAATGCCTCACGCACATTCTTGGAAGCTGTGAGAAGAAATCCATCAATATTCGTAAAATGCTTTGAAGATGACAAGTGTGAAGTATGCATGGGCTGATTTCCCAGCAGCCTTTGCAACCAATGGGATCTGCAGGTTTCCAGTGCCTGAGAAAATCAGCCCATAAATGACTTGCCTGCAGTTGTCTTTTTACCATCAAGCCCCTAAGTCAAACCATTACAAGCAGAGCTGAGCACAAACTCAGTTGACTCTGTTACATGTACTAGTGATGCCAGAATTAAGGCTGCAGGTCCTTAGGCCTGGTTTTTCTATCCTTTGTAATTATGGTCAGAACTTGTTTTCCCCCTCTCTCCCTTTGCTCTGTGATGGGAGCTAAGGGATGGCACTGATCCCAGCTTGCAGACCCATTGGTTAGATGCACTCTGGGGCACCCCGAAGTTTCCATCCTGGCTGAGCACAGTCTTACCTCAAAATCATTCCCCTTATTATAGTGCATGTTGAGGGCTCTGAAGAGCTCAGAGTCCCGAGAAACCATCAGGTGTTTGGAATCCGTGACTTCCTCCAAGATGGCTTGTCGGGCAAACTTCTCCATCTGGATGTAGTAAAACTCACGGAAGTTGCTGAACCACTTGATGAGCTGAGAAGTGATGCAGCGGTTGAACTGTGAAAGGACATGCACCAGAGGAGCAAGGAAGGGTTAAACCCCTGTTCCCATTGGGCGCCATGAGAAGGAACCAGATTTCAGCAAAGAAAATAAATGTAGAAATCTTAGACACCAAAAATATGAAAGAACCCATTCTAGCTTCCTCAAAAACACAAACCCCCAGCCCCCGACAGTCACATGGGGAATGACTGGGTGAAATTCAGTGATCATCTGCCAACAGAGAAGGAAAGATTCTCCTTGTATTTTGCCTGGGAGGAGAGTACAGTCCAGGTACATATGTCACAGATGGTGCCCAGGAATCTTAGCTTAAACTTTCCTTTGATCCATCAGCCCTGGCAAAAGCATCCCATCTAGTCATGCCCCATGTCCTTTGCACAGGGATGAGTATGTGCAGCAGGGGTAGCTGGTATGGCTGCAGAGGACCATCTGGATGCTCATTCCTACCCCAAGATTTTGACCATCCTTTCCTCTGTTCTATCCCCTGCGTACACACACACTTTTTGAAGCAGCTGCTGTCCCTGCACCCAAACTATCGCTGGCAAGGTGGGGAGAGCCCAATGAGAAGACAGTGCTGCTCCTTAATCAGCCATAGGGGCCGCTAAAGCAAATAGAGAACCTACAGCATTGTGAGCTCGTGCCCTCTAGCATGAGATAGTGTAACCCGGGGAATTAGGCCAGTAAGCAGTGTTGCCACCCTAGGCAAGGTTTCATCATCTGGGCTACTTTTGAAAGGCCTCTACGACAAACAATCTTGAATCTGCAACAGGCAGCTTTTTTATGCGACAGTGCGACCCTGCAGTGCAGACTACAGAGGGGTGAATTGCAGCATGCACACAAGTTTGAAGAGGGTTATGTTCATGCAAACTGGGCATCTGTTAGTTCATATCTGCAGCATCCGGGGGGGAAGAGGGGAGCGGGGGATTACATGCAGCGTTTTTCTGCAAACTGCAGTTCACATCCTCATACTCGGCACTGCAGGGCTCATGTGGACAAACTCTTAGAGCCCTGGTGCTCCCCAGTCGTGATCTCTTTGCTGTCAGCTGTTGGCCGTTTGAATAAACAGACACTGAGGTGTATGTGCAGCTGGACTAAGTCCACCTCCCGGACAGCAGAAGCCACGTGGCACGTGAACCTTTGGGAACAGAACTCTGCTGGCTGTGGTAAAGCAGGGCTTCCGTTTGGCCAGGGTGACCAGATAGCAAGTGTGAAAAATGGGGACACTTTTTTTTTGGGGGGGGGGTATAGTTGCCTATATAAGACAAAGCCCCTCAGATCAGGACGGTCCCGATAATTTCAGGACATCTGGTCACCCTTTTGGCTGTGGGATGTCTCCAGTCGGGCGGGGTGGTAGCCAATGGGGCGGGCAGCAATGGGGTATAAACCCAGAAGTGGCCCGCGTGCAAGTGAGCAGCCACTGCCAGTGTTGCCAACCATGGTGATTTCTTTGAAATGGCAAAAATTGGGGCTTTTGGAAGCAAACTGTCATTTGGTGACTTTTGGGTTACTTTTCACATGCGATTGGCAAAAACGGGAGCTTTGAGGTTGGCAGCACTGCTAGTCAGGCTTGGTTGGCAGCAGAGCTGGGATAAGCAGCTGTACCTGGACATCAGGGAAGTAGGTTTTCAACAGAGTGGAGCTGGGGTAGCGAGTGAAGAAGAACATCAGCTTGGCCTTCTTCAGGTGGCCAGGGGTCAGAGCCTCCTGGATTTACTCCAGAGTCAAGGAAAAGCTGTTTCCTGTTTTCCTGCACATACAAATCATTGAATTTGCACAAGGCCAGACACTCCTAAGGATGCCTCCAGCATGCCTGTCTTTACCTATGATGTCTCTTCTGCACAGACAGCCCACTCTCTGCTGTATGGTAATGGGGGTGATGGAAGAAGGGTGCTTCCTGAGGAATCCCCATCTGAGGGAATCCTCTAATTATCTGACCCCAATAAAGACTCCACTAGTGACTACTTCTCCCCTTGACAGTCCCAGGAGAGTTGCAGCCAGCAGGAGCCCCCACCCTAGCTGACAGTAATGTGAACGTTTGTGGAAAATCGGTTTTCAGTGCCAGGATCATGTGGCCACCAAGATTTAAGAAATGGCCTGAGAATGGGATTGTGAGTCAGGAGCGCTTGGGTTCTATTCCCAGCTCTGTCACTGACATCCTCTGGGCCTGGGGAAAGTCACTCTACCTGTGTGTCTCAGTAGCCTCACATGTAAAATAAATACATTGATAACCATTTACTCTACCTCAGAAGGGAGAGGGATAATATGTTAGTGTGTGTAAAGTGCTTTGGAATGTGATGTATATAGGGTTGCCAACTTTCTAATTGCACAAAATTGAACACCCTTGCCCCGCCCCTTCCCTGAAGCCCCACCTCTGCCCCACCCCTTCTTTGAGGCCCTGCCTATGCTCACTCCATCCCCCTCCCCTCCATTGCTCACTCTCCCCTACCCTCACTCACTTTCACCAGGATGGGGCAGGGGGTTGTGGTGCGGGGGCAGGTATGGGCTCTGTGCTGGGGGTGCAGGCTCTGGGATGAGGCTGGAGATGAGGGGTTTGGGGTGCAGGAGGGGGCTCAGGGCTGGGGCAGGAGGTTGTGGGGGTGCGGGCTCTGGAAGGGAGTTTGGGCGCGGGAGGGGGTTCATGGGGCGGAGGTCCCGGCAGCACTTACCACGGTTCCCAGGAAGCAGACGCCAGGTCCCTGCAGCCCCTAGGCGCATAGGCAGCCAGAGAGGCTCCACACGCTGCCGTCACACCTGCAGGAGCCACCCCCACAGCTCCCATTGGTTGCAGTCCCCAGCCAGACCTGCGGATCCAGCACTTAGGGCGGGGTCAGCACGCAGAGCGTCCCTTGCCTCCCATGCACTTAGGGGCTGCAAGGACCTGGCAGCCACTTCTGGGAGTCACACAGAACTAGGGCAGGCAGGCAGCCTGCTTTAGCCCCAGGCCCCCCGCTGCGCTGCTGATGGGACTTTTAACTGCCCTGTCAGCAGTGCCAATCAAAGCTGCCAGGGTCCCTTTTCGACCAGGCATTCCAGTCAAAAAACGGACACCTGGCAACCCTAACATTGGATGTGTTGAGCATTAGCACCAAAATGGGCCTTTTGCTAGTCCACTGGACAGTTTTGCTGAAAATCAAATGTGTTCACTCCGGGTGGGCAGAAAGCTTCAGTCCATGGGCCTATCTTGGGGAGCATTGGTCACTAATAGGGTCTCTGCTGGGATCCGATGGGAGAGGGAGCTCCTGCAAGCTGAGAACTCAGAGTGTTCCACAATGAGATTTCTCTGAGTCTTTCGCATGAGCAGTGTTAGCTAATAGTGCCACCTTCTGGTAAGCCAGGAGTAACAAAAGTGAACAGAAAGAAAAGGAGGACTTGTGGCACCTTAGAGACTAACCAATTTATTTGAGCATAAGCTTTCGTGAGCTACAGCTCACTTCATCGGATGCATTCAGTGGAAAATACAGTGAGGAGATTTATATACACACAGAACATGAAAAAATGGGTGTTTATCATGCACACTGTAAGGAGAGTGATCACTTAAGATGAGCTATTACCAGCAGGAGAGTGGGGGGGGCGGGCGGGGAGAAAACCCTTTGTAGTGATAATCAAGGTGGGCCATTTCCAGCAGTTAACAAGAATGTCTGAGGAACAGTGTGGGGGGGAGGGAATATACAAGGGGAAATAGTTTTACTTTGTGTAGGTTTCAGAGTAACAGCCGTGTTAGTCTGTATTCGCAAAAAGAAAAGGAGTACTTGGAGTACTTAGAGACTAACCAATTTATTTGAGCATAAGCATCCGATGAAGTGAGCTGTAGCTCACGAAAGCTTATGCTCAAATAAATTGGTTAGTCTCTAAGGTGCCACAAGTACTCCTTTTCTTTTTACTTTGTGTAATGACTCAACCACTCCCAGTCTCTATTCAAGCCTAAGAGGTTCTTGTTAACTGCTGGAAATGGCCCACCTTGATTATCACTACAAAGGGTTTTCTCTCCGCCCCCTGCCCCCCCCCCCACTCTCCTGCTGGTAATAGCTTATCTTAAGTGATCACTCTCCTTACAGTGTGCATGATAAACACCCATTTTTTCATGTTCTGTGTGTATATAAATCTCCTCACTGTATTTTCCACTGAATGCATCCGATGAAGTGAGCTGTAGCTCACGAAAGCTTATGCTCAAATAAATTGGTTAGTCTCTAAGGTGCCACAAGTACTCCTTTTCTTTTTGCGAATACAGACTAACACGGCTGCTACTCTGAAAAGTGAACAGAGCTCAGTACAGCCCTCCTGAATGGAGGAGAGGGAGCTTATGCGTTAGGCCTTCAGGAGGGTTCAGATCTGAGTCAGCTGGTCTCTTCTGCCCAGGCCCCTCTGCCAGCACCATGTGAAAGGGGAGCCTGATGCCCTGCTTTCTCACAGTAGTACATGAAACCCTGTTAGTTAACCAGCCCCTGTACTGTCTCAGGTTCATGCATGTAGGTGAGGGGGCAACCTTAAGAGCAGCTACTCATGTTTGAGGCTCTAATTGCTGATCTTTAATGGTCACTAAAGGATATATGGACTGAGGAGAAGGGCATCCCATCCATCACAGTCTGCAGCTCTCCACATTCTGCCTTCCTGGCTGGAAGAAGAGTCAAATTTTCCATTTCAGCAGTGTTAAGGGACATTGGATATTGCTGGTGTCTCATGACTGATGACTTCAATTTGACTGCTCTCCAAGGTAGATCTAGGGACTCTTGAGAAGACCAGTCTGGGGAAGAGGCAATTCTGTGAGGACTGCTGTTCCAATGGCTATTTTGACTGTACTCTAGTAGCTGGCTAAGAATCTGTTTTTCTTGAACTTGAGAAGTCATGACCAAGGGATGATTCATGTTAGGCACATGGCAGGGTTTTCTAGCTATTTTTGAACTGATTGGGTGAGCATGAAAGTCTGGAGACTTCTCCATGACTAGCGACAAGGCCTCTGTGTGGGCTTCAGTCAGTGAGTTTACCAAATTTTGGGAGGAAGCCCCAGGAAGCGATTTTCTGCTGGAGTATTCCTCAGTGGCAAAATCCTCTCTTCTGCTGTCTGACACTGAGATTGGGAGGCTGTTGTACAGCTGAGCCAGATGGCCTGATGGCTTGGACAATATTTGTTTTAAAACTGTGTCCACCGTCTGAGATACCACTGTGGCTAGCTCATGCTTTAATGTCTCAGAAAAGGTTCTTTCTTCAGAGGACAGTTCACCCAGATCCTCCATTCTCCTTTCTTCTTCTGACACTTTGTGTTCTTCCATCTCTGAGATGCTCCTCCGAAGAAGAGTTCTGTGTTGGTCACTGGTAGCAGCCTGACGGCTTTCATTTAGACTGTCTCCACACTTCCCCTTCAGTAAGTGCATAGTCTTCGCCATCCGTTCATAGCTTTGATCTGAATCACTGAACTCATAAACCTGCAAGAATTTCTCTTGAAGCTGCCTCAGCTGTTGCTGCAAAACTTGAAGCTGTTCCTTCAGTTGGTGGCACTCCTCTGCCTTGGCACTGCTCCTGCCTCTTCCTGCAAGCTGTGCTACATGTGGGCTTTGCTGCTGGGGAAGCTTCTGCTTTCTCTTGTTCTCCCTGTAGTTCTCACTTCTTTTCTCCACAGGGCGTTCTCTGTCTCTTTCCCCATTGGTACCAAGTGTGATAGGGTTTGGTGAGAGGGTCATACCTCGGATAATGCTTTCCACTCTGGCCCTCTTAGCTCGTAAGTGTTCATTATAGAACTGGTCTGTGTCACCAAAACTGGAGATTGGAGTATAGCACAGAGGGGAGGCCAGGGTTGGTGTCCCTTCCTTAAAAGATGGGCAGTCCCTGGCTTCCTGGGGTGATTCCGTTGTCTGCAAGGAAGGGAAAAGGAAGTTTGGATCCAGGCTCCTGTTAACGATTGTCTGGTTGAGGAGTTGTGATATGATGGACACACTGGGGGAAGAGAACAACGAGTCTCTTTGGAGACAGGGCTCTTCTTTCTGCCCACCTGAGTGTCCTGAACTCGAGCTATCTCCATCCTGCTCAGAGACACAGCTCCCATTCATAGTTTTTTCCACTCTTGAAGATGAAGACCTGACACTCAACAGTTGCCACTCAGCAGTTGTTTTGATGATGGTACTTGTTATACAGGAACACCCTAGGACTTGAGGACTGCTGATGTGCTAGCTGTTTCTGAGAGCTGGAGCTGAGAAAAGAGCAAGAAATGTTACCCAGTGAACTCTACTATGTCAGCTCTCCATTTGTGTGGGAACATTTCCTCCTCACTGATTCCCTGTGATTGATTCTCTGTGACCTCCCTACTCAATGGTAACCCACTTCACTCACCAGTGCTGAAAAGCCTCCAGCCAGTTAAAAACATCTGAGCTAACCTGTTGTACAATGCAGGACCGCACGAGCACACCTTCCTGGTGCTCGGGACAGTACAAGGGCTCCCCATTCAATATATGATCATTCATGGTTTGGGCTCAGGTTCTCTCTGCAGCCATGGTATTTGCATCCCCAGGAACAGTGGAACTGTCAGCTACAGGAGGCAGAACTTTCTAAGCAGCCAGCCTGTAGTTTTGGATTATCCTTCCGTGAGAGGTTAAAATGATCACAAATCTCATTGCTGCCTTCCTTGCCAGAGCTTCCCAATAAATAATATTAAATGTCTTATACACCCTTCCCCACAATCCAGAGCAAGAGAATCCTAGACAATGTGTGCAACGTAAATGCCTAAAGAGAGACAGAAGATAGGTAGACAGAACCACAAAACCGCATTGATTAGACTACACGGTGGACCCATGGAATTCCGTAAGGCACTCAGATACAGTGGTGATGAGCATAGTATAAATACCCAGAAAGATTTCAGATCCAAACTCTGTTTCAACCAAGCCTTGGTAGAGGTTCTCTGAGGTGCCCCTTAGTTCAGGAAAGGGAGCTTAGGGCTGTATCCTCAAAGTTCCTCAGCTTGAGGTGGGTGTTGTAAGAAGGTGGCACTTATGGGTACACTTCAGCTCAGACTGTCCTGGCTTTCCTCGCATTGCAGAAAACCCTTTCTGAATCATTCTGAAAGGAGAAATCTGACTGCTCTTCATGAGCCCCATATCTTTGTGTTCCAGTGTTCACTTGTGCTGTTGAATACATCTAGCATTCTGTGCATCCCTACATCTCACAAGGCTTTACCACATCTGGGGCTGTGGCAACTGGAGAATAGACAAGTGCCTAATCTCTCTGTGGTGGCCTCACTACTCCATCCTTCCCAGGGTCTGGATACATGAATACTAATGTTCAGAAAGTGACTCTATGTGGATGATAATGCAAACACATGTAAAATCCTCAGAGTGTAGGCTATGGGACTTTGCCTCTGCCTGAAACATACAGGTGTCAGACATTACACACAACTCAGTTTGAATAGCCAGCTCCTCAGTACACTCATTAGTATCATACAAATATATCTGAGGCTGGGCACTGATGGTGCCCGGTTCTGCCAGCATTGAGCATCTGAATGCATCCACAGCGGGGCACAGGTTGTTCCTGAGTAAAATGACTGTCAGCACTGGGCACCTAGGCATACACACATTGAAGCAGAATTAGTGCTTGGGTAAGAAGGGTCTGACACACACAGACCCAGGTACCATTCAGCATCAGGCTCAGAAGAGCTACAGAGCTGGCAGTGCTATCCAAAAGTTTCACTGATCCAGAAGCAGTGACACTCTTTAATGTTGCCTCCAGTTATCAATGTACATTAGAACTAAGGAGTTAAAACAATGCTTTGCATTTTATTTCTAGGAGCTTTTTTTAAAAAGGAAAATGAAAGGAGAGGGGCTGGGGGGTTAGATGAGCAGAGCATGAGCCATTGACCTGGCAGTTAGGAGTATAAGAACTAACATACCAGATCAGAGCAGTGCTCCAACCAGCCAGTACCCGGTCTCTGACCGTGACCAGTACCAGATGGGGCAGAGGAAGATGCAAGAAACCTTGTAATGGACAATTACAGAATAACCCACCCATAGGGCTTTTTCCTTTTAACCCTCTTCAGTTCATGGCTGGGGATTACATCCTGAAGCAGGAGGGTTTATATTACTTCTAACCATTTTAAAATAATATCTAATATGTCAGTAGCTGTTCTTATTATCCTTGAAACATCTGATCCTTTTAGGAAAATACTAGGCTCTTCTACTCAATGCTAGCTTGCGGCAGTGAATCCCACAGGTTAATTTATGCACTGTGTAAGATATATGTCCAGTTTCCAGCTGATTGCCTTTCAGTTTCTCTGAACATTCCTTTGCTCTTATATTACAAGAAAGGGTAAATAGGAGTGCTGGATTTACCTTCTCTAAATCATGCATTATCTTGTACACCTCTAGCATATCGCCTCTCTAAATTGAACAGTCCTGTCTTTTCAATCTCTCTTTACTCTTTGCCACTCATCATTTTGCTCACCCATCTCTGAATCCATTCTACTTCTGCTATATCCCTTTGAGACAGGGTGACCAAAATTGAGCAGCACTCCAGGCAAGGTCATACTACTGATTTATGTGCCATTCCTTTTGCAGCCTAACATTTAGTTTGCTTTTTTAACTGCCACTGCACATTGAACAGACACTTTATTATGCTGCCTGCAATAACCCCTTGGGCTTTTTCCTGAGTGGTTACAGTTCGTGTAGACCAGTGGTTCCCAAACTTTAACAACCTGTGAACCTCTTTCACTAAAATGTCAAGTCTTGCAAACCCCCTCCTAAAAATGAACATTTCCAGGGATTTTCTCCTTTACTTGAGAATAAATTATAAAAGCAGTGATCTTGGAAATATAAAATTTGTCTTTATGCCATGCTTATTACTCACTATTTATTATTAATTATTATTTATCATTACAGTATTTTTATTACATTATGAAAATGGCAACATTCTTCCAAGATCTCACTTTTGTAGCTTGTATTGCTTGAATAAGCCTGTTATAAGTCAAGGCTCCTTACATTTCATCAAGGAGTATCAGATGTGAAACAGCATGAAGGTATTTAAGAAGCAAACTCAAAGAATTCCTCCTACACCGGCATTCAGGTTTTGAGCAGTCCAGGCAAACAACGCACGTTACAATAAAGCTTAAACTTGTTCTTTGTAATAATTTAAAAAACAATACTAGCTGCCTATTTAATTTTAAAAACAGCAACAAATATCCACCTCCCTTTCGATTTCTTATAAGGAGTCTTGAAGTTTAAATCTCCTCGGTGTGATAGCTGTGCTTGCTTTGATCTGCTTAGCACTTGGAAGTCCAGGGGCTCTGGGCTGCTGGCCCTGTGCTGTCTGGGGTCCCTAGGGACAGCTCTGTCCACCATTAGGGAATTTTTTCCCCAAGAACCCCCTGTAACATTTCAAAAACCCTCAGGGGTTCACAAACCCCAGTTGGGGAACCACTGCTGTAGACCCTACCAGTGTGTGAGAGTAATTCAGATCATTATTTCTTATGTGTCAAAAGCGAGTTTCATTTGCCATCATGCTACTCATTCACTCAGCTGTGTTAGGTTGCTCTGAAGTTTCTCGCTGTGTTCTCTAGACTTGACTAACCTAACTATCTTAGGGGATGTCCACACTGGAGCTGGGAGCGAGCCTGCCAGCCCAGGGAGACATGCTCCTGTTAGCTGGGCTCCAGCTAGCACGCTAAGAATTGCTGCAGAGGCTCAGGCAGCCACCCAAGCTCAGACCCAGAGTACCTGGAGCCCTGCTAGGGCGGGTCTATCTACTCAAGCAGGGAGACTTGCTCCCCACTGCAGTGGAGACACACCCTTTGTATTATCAGTAAATGTTGCCACTCCAGTGTTCTCCCTCTTTTCCATAGCATTAATAAATATGTTCACCAACCCTGGGAGACTTTTTGCCCTGCTGGAAATTGACCATTTAGTCCTACTCTATGGGCTTGTCTACACTACCCTTTGGATCGGCGGGCAGCGATCGATCCAGCGGGGGTTGATTTATCGCATCTAGTATAGTTATTTATGTAGCTGGAGTTGCATAGTGTAGGTCGATTTACCGCAGTAGTGTACTTTGCCTGTCACCCAATGACTGTTTAGTTTTCTTAACAACCTCTTGTGAGCGGCTTGGTCAAAGTTTTTTTTTTTTAAGTTTTTGTAAGTTATAGCAACCATTTCTCTTGTATCCCTCTGCTGTTTGTTGACACACACAGAAATCTGTGTGGCCTTACAGACACCCTGCTATTTTATCCCCATCATATGCTCGTCTAGGCATTTTATTGTTCTGTCTTTCATAAGAACATAAGAACGGCCAGACTGGGTCAGACCAAAGGTACATCTCGCCCAGTATCCGGTCTACTGACAGTGGCCAGTGCCGGGTGCTTCAGAAGGAAAGAACAGAACAGGTAATCATCAAGTGATCCATCCCGTCGCCCATTCCCATGATAATTTCAGTCTATTACCTGGGACTGAAGTAAGGGTCACTGGTCTGTAATTCCCAGGATCATCCCTACTAACCTTTATAAAAATAGACTTAACATTTTCTACCCCTCCAGTCCTCTGGTATAGGAGCTAATTTTAATAAAGCCATATATAATTCCTATATTTGCATAGTTCAGCCACTTCTTTCTCGAGTTTTTTCAGACCACTTGGACGTATGGCATATGTACTGGAGACTTGTTCTTTAATGTACCAGTTTGTTGCAGAACCTCCTTCTTTTGGCACTTCACCCCCTCACAGTGCCTCATCTTTTTTACCTGAAAAGGTAAAGTCCAGGATCTTACAAACTCCTTAAACTGAAGCTTTCTTGCTCCAGATACCAAAGTGACAGGCTCCTTGTAAATACAATAGATAGCTATTGAGCTGGCCATAAACTTTCAACTTGTCCAAAAATACTAGAATCAGCTTTTCCCATTAACCTGAGCTGCTCCTGCCTCACAAAGAGTTACAGAGTGGGACACAAGCCCTCAGTTTCAACCTATTTCTCTCCCTCCTGAAAAGCTCCCTACACCTCCTCATCTTCCTTTGGAATGAGGGGTTTTGTAAATGTGCGTGGTCACCTTTTAAACCTTGTATCAGAGAATTGATGGAGCAGGGCTGCATACACTCTGTGAGTTCCCTGTGCATCCCAGGAGTGCTAGATAGGGGAACCGAGCATTTGCTGATTGTCTTGAAGGGGCCCTTTTGGCTGAATTTTTGCAGGGATACTGGAACAATTTTTATAGTGGGGGTGCTGATGATGGAAACCATGTATTTGGTGTTTGTTATTACTATTTCAAGTCAGGAGGTGCAGCAGCACCTCCAGTTCCAGCACCACTGAATTTTCGTGGTTTTCTTCAATCTTTCTGTAGCCCATGAGGGATCTGGCACACACAGGGAGTGCCCTGTGCACCAGCAGCCATTCCCCAATATGCTATGCAGAACCAAAAAATAGCCTCAGAAAGAGCAGTATTGGAGGGATGAGGCCAGAGGCTGCATCTCTGGGGCCTGGCAGAATCCCTCCAGTCACCCACATCAAGGGGCCCAGGGGACAAGTTGAGGAAAATGTTCAGATCCCTCCCTCCAAAGCATCTGCTCTTAGAAGCAGAATGTACTCTGCACCCTGCCTTCCATGGCACATGGAGATGCCCTGCTCACTCCCTTCTCATTCAGATACACTGGATTCTTCAGCAAGGAATGCTGCTTCTCCCGGACCCAGGGCAATTCTGCACACAGGGGTCTCCTCCACTGCTGCTGGGGATGGCTCCAGCTCACCTATCTTCATTGAACACACCAGCTTTTCTCAGCCTCTAGGACCGAGGCAACCCCGGGCACCGGGGGACAACCAAAATGCTTTGGGGGGGGGTGGGAAAGGGAAGGAGTCTCAAGTCAGTGCCCCCTACCTCTTGCAATGTACATGTTAATGCCCTGGAGTTCAGGTTTGGTCCCGGTCAGTGTTTATGGCAATGGAGGTCCTGCCCCTACTTGTACATTAGCTCTTGGGTGAATTGTTCCTGCCATTTCACTGTCAGAGCCCTCAGGTCCTTCCTCACATTAATTAGTGGATGTTTTTAAAGCACTCTATACATGCTGAAAGAAAAGGAGTACTTGTGGCACCTTAGAGACTAACCAATTTGTTTGAGCATAAGCTTTCGTGAGCTACGGTTCACTTCATCGGCTGCTGTAGCTCACGAAAGCTCAGGCTCAAATAAATTGGTTAGTCTCTAAGGTGCCACAAGTCCTCCTTTTCTTTTTGCGAATACAGACTAACACGGCTGCTACTCTGAAACCTGTCATTATTCATGCTGAGTGTTACTATTAGCTACCCAGGCTTCTTTACAAGAAAGGGAGAAAAATCCCAAATGAGGCTACTCAGAATGCAGCAGGCCACCACCCCAAGAGCAGACACCCTAAATGGCCAGACACCCCCCCAAATCTCCCCAGGAACAGACACCCCAAACAGCCAGACACCCCCCAAACCTCCCCGAGAAAAGATCCCCCCAACAGCTAGACTACCCTCAACATCTCCTGAAAATACCGTCCCTTAACCAGATTATACCCCAAACTTCCCCAACAAGCATCTGCAAACCTCCTCAGAAGAGCCATATTCTGCAAACCCTCCCCATGGAGAGACTCCCCAAAACTGCCAGATTTCCCAGTTTTCAATGTAAACCCTGAATAGGAACCAGCTTAGTCTCTCTCCTCCCCAGGGAGATGGTTCACTCACCTGGTCCCCCTTTGTGTGTGGCGGGTGGGATGGTAGGCGCCTGCAGGGTACCCTGTGTTCCCAGAGTGTCTGGAGAGTGTGGCAAACAAGAGGCACTGAAGCACTAGCACTGGCATTGAAGAGTCCTCTGAGCTTGGTCCCTGTTAAAGAGGGGGATGGGGAGGCCAATAGCAGCCAACCAGCTTCAAGGTGCTTCTGAATATGCAGATGAAAGAAGAAGAGGTCAGGTTCAGAGCCAGGGAGCAGGGAGGGAGACCTTCCATCTGCAGCTGGGCCACTCAGGTACACAGGAAGTCAGCTGTCTCAGAGGCTGGGTCTTAACATGTGAAATCTTTTTTTCCGATAGGGCCATTCCCAGTGGTAGAAGAGTTCTGTGCATTAACCTCTGGGTTCTAACTTGTTGCAGGTCAGGATATCTATGCATTGGCAGAGCTGTGTGTGGGACGGCCAGGACAGGAGGAGCAGGAGCTGCCATAGATCAGGATGGAACTGTAGGAGCAGATCATTGGGGCAGGGATGAGCAGTGGGAGCAGGACTGGAACAGTTGGTTCCTAGAGGAACCCCAGAGCTGTGGTGTTGAGTGATCACCCAGTGCTTAAGGAACTTGCAAGAGCTCTGCTTTATTCTGTATCCGGTTCCAACTGGCTGTGCATAATAACAAGGGCTTTAAAACGTCTTGCCCAGACTGTATCTGGGAAGCTTAGCCCTGAACGGCATAGTCCCCAATACCACAAGGGCAATTGTCACCCAGAATCCTACCTCTGCCATACCACATCACACCATCAATTCCTCTAGACTCATATAATGCATGCTGTGTTTCAGGGGAAGATAAAATCTCCCATATTGCACCTGGCAAGCGATGCACTGCTGCACATGGGGAAAATGCCTTTCTGACCCCTGTGATAATTCTCTGACAAGCCATGCTCCTAGAGAGAGCTCATGAGGATTCAGGAGCTTTGTGACAATCCTGAGGCTGGCTGACAGCATCTCTCTCGGGCCTTGTGAGGAAGGGAAAACAGGGGGTGCCTCTGCACCGGAGGAGTCCTAATGATAAAGACTCTCTTCTCCTGTAAAGCTGAACACAGCAGAGGCTTGCACTGTCCTAGGAAAACCATAGTAATAATGCAGGTGGGAAGACAGCAACATCTTAGAGGATTTTGGAGCTTGAACCTGGTCTGGGAACATGCTGTTCCTCAGTTGCTATTGTCCTCACATCCATGCTGGAGACAGGGCTTGTGAGACAACAATGCATCTCACTCAGAATGAGGGCTCCCCCAGCATAAGCAGGGCCTACAACAGCTAATAAAGGGTGCTGGAAGAGAACACTGGCCATCTATGGACACTGGGGGAAGCTGAAATTCCAGATATCCTCAGCAATACATTGTAGTGACCAACAGTTTTCTAATGTGAGATTCCAGCTCTGAATACAACGGGGGATTTTGTTCTTTGCTGCAGCTGGAGAAAGCTCTGAGGTGTATGTGACACATAGGAAAGGAGTAACGTATAAAGAATAGGGCTGTCAATTAATCGCAGTTAACTCACATGATGTAACAAAAAAATTAATCCACTCTGTTCTGTTTCAGCCAATTGCCAAGACAAACAAGTTTGTTTACATTTATAGAAATAATGCTGCCTGCTTCTTATTTGCAATGTCACCTGAAAGTGAGGACAGGTGTTCACATGGCACTTTTGTAGCCGGCTTTGCAAGGTAATTTACATGCCAGATATGCTAAACATTTGTATGCCCCTTCATGCTTTGGCCACCATTCCAGAGGACGCTTCTATGCCGATGATGCTCGTTAAAAAAATAATGCATTAATTAAATGCATTAAACTGAACTCCTTGGGGGAGAATTGTATGTCTCCTGCTCTGTTTTACCTGCATTCTGCCATATATTTCATGTTATAGCAATCTTGGATGATGACCCAGCACATGTTGTTCATTTTAAGAACACTTTCACTGGAGATTTGACAAAACAGAAGGAAGGTAACAATGTGAAATTTCTAAAGATAGCTACAGCACTCAACCCAAGGTTTAACAATCTGAAGTGCCTTCCAAAACCTGAGAGGGATGAGGTGTGGAGCATGCTTTCAGAAGTCTTAAAAGAGCCACACTGTGATGCAGAAACTACAGAACCCGAACCACCAAAAAAGAATATCAACCTTCTGCTGGTGGCATCTGACTAAGATGATGAAAATGAACATGCATCGGTCCGCACTGCTTTGGATCGTTATTGAACAGAACCCGTCATCAGCATGGACGCATGTCCTCTGGAACATGACGGGACATATGAATCTTTAGCGCATCTGGCACGTAAATACCTTGTGACTCCGGCTACAACAGTGCCATGCGAACACCTGTTCTCACTTTCAGGTGACATTGTAAACAAGAAGTGGGCAGCATTACCTCCTACAAATGTAAACAAACTTGTTTGTCTGAGCGATTGGCTGAACAAGAAGTAGGACTGAGTGGACTTGTAGGCTCTAAAGTTTACATTGTTTTATTTTTTAATGTAGGGGTTTTTTTACATAATTCAATATTTGTAAATTCAGCTTTCATGATAAAGAGATTGCACTACAGTACTTGTATTAGGTGAATTGAAAAATACTATTTTGTTTTTACAGTGCAAATATTTGTAATAAAAATAAATATAAAGTGAGAACTGTACACTTTGTATTCTGTGTTGTAAATTGAAATCAATATATTTGAAAATGTAGAAAACATCCACAATATTTAAATAAATGGGTATTCTATTATTGTTTAACAATGCGATTAATCGCAATAAATTTTTTTAGTCGTACAATTAATCACGATTAATTTTTTAATCACTTGACAGCCCTAGTAAAGAACAAAGGTACTTAGTATTTTACATCTTCAAAGCACTTTGCTAACAGTAACTCTAGTAACTTGAACCATTAGTTCACAGTAGCTGGTAAATAAGTGTCCTCCTGCCCTCAGAACTGTATATAAATATACTGTGGGAAATAATCTACCTGGCTTCAGGAATGGACACCAAAGAGTGACTAAAGAATCTTTCACCTCTCACTAATGGGGAAGTATAATTGACTAGTGAAAGCTTGTTCAGATGATGTCATGTTTGTAACTAGCTCCCTGGCTGGAGGGCTCTAGTGAGGATGGATTTCCCCTGGGACCAGACTGAATGAATCCATCTGCTCAGCTGAATTAATCTATTACTCTTACTAAAACTCTTACTCTTCTAATTTCCCCCCAGCTACTTAAATTAGAGAGCTGGTTAATAAAAGCCTAGCATGCATATTTTTTCCTGGTAGGCAGGAATCTTTTGATAAGGGCAGCTGTTTTCTGGTGGTCTTGCTCAAGGACTGCAGCATTTCAGTGAAGAATAACTGAAAACGTTCTAGGTTTGGAGCTTTACGGGCTCTGTTTCCTTTTTTTTTTTACAAGCCAGCAGAGTTTCAAAGCCTGGGTCAGTGTCTCCTATTGATTTTTTTCTCATCTTTTTCCTTTTAAAAATCCCTAGGAAATTGCTTGCCAGATTCTATGGAGAGTATTAAGGTTACATAGTTAGATGCTCAAAATATAGGAAATGCCTACATTATAGATGTACAAGCAATCTTTACTATACCCTTTGGAGCAGATGCCTCATTACAATACAGTCTTTTATTACATGATCACAGACTATTGCATGATTTAGTGCAGGGGTTCTCAAACCTTGCAAGAGTATTCACTACACATTAAGAGGAAGACTTTTTCATGTACCTTTCTTCCCATTTGCAATTGTGCAGATGACCTCCCTTCCCATTTCTAACCAGGTAACATGCTTGTGGCAAATACAGCAATTGTTTATATCAAATGTAATGTCCAGAAAGTAATTTATTCTAGTTATCTCTAGTGTGATTTTAGCAAGTGAAAACAAGGAGGTTTAATAGCAACTTTAACCAGCCTGCTTTTTGTGGCCCACAAGCAAGAACTCCATGGACCTCTTTGAGAACCTCTGATCTCTGATTTAGTGGCTAGAGCAGAGGATCTGGCAATCAGAATTCTTGGGTCCTGTTCCTAGCTAAAAGAGAGCACGTGGTGTGTTAGTCAGAAATAATGGACTAGGAGTCAAGGCTCCTGAGAGGCATTCCTTGTTCAGTCACTGACTCTCTGTGATGTTAGGAAAGTCTTCACTTCTCTGAGTTTCAGTTTCCCCATTTGTAAATTGTGGATAATGTTTTTATAGGCCTTTGGGATCCTCCTAATGAAAGGAAAGTGCCTGTGATTATAAATCATAAATATTTGCCTCTTCTTCCATAATTAAAATTTTCATCCAGACCCTATTCAGGTTCTTATATCACCCTCATCCCTATAGCATCTGAGCACCTTTCAGAAGTACAGTGAGCAAAATGAATAGCATCTGTCATGTGTGATTCTTTCTTTCTCTCTTCTTCTCTCCAGAAATAATTGTGTGTGGAGATATGGGGGCAGGGTATTTCTGTGTATATAATAATGTAAGAGAGGTACACTGCACTATGTGTTTATATTAGCAAACAGAAAGTTGCAGAAGTGCTCATTGAACTTGGAATGGAAAGTCTGAGGTTTGTGATGGGTCTCAATTGTTGTGGGAGTTTGTTTTATTCCCTTGGATTGGCCCCTGGGAACTCTCAGTCTTCTGAACAGATAAGTTTTACCCTTACTTTGTTCAGTTCCATTACCCCCTTATATCCCATCTTCCTAACTATAACCTCTTCCTCCTCTCTGACAGCCATATTGCACCTTCTGGTCCATTCAAATAACAACTGCTAAGATCACCTTCCTGGCTGGTCACTGACCACAGCATTCCCATCTCTGCATCCCTGTAAGGGCTCCCCCGGTGTCACTTCATCAGGTTCCAATTTCTTGTCCCCATTTGAATGGCTCTTCTGCCCTTCCCCTATTCATCCCCCCCTTGACTCTGATTATGATCCCAGCCCCCTCTGCTCCACCAACTATGCCCGCCTTGTCCACCCGTCTGTCAGCTTCTCACACAACCAGTTCATTACATACAGGCCACCCTCCCTGAGCTGATCCATCAGGCCCCTGCACTCCCCTCTATCAAACCCTCCTCCCATCCCACTCCTGACACCAGCCTTGTGAGAACTCAACTGGATAGGGATGATTGGGGGGGGAGGGTCGGGCACATTATCCATTCAGTATCCTGCACACACCCTGCAGGTGTCACTTCGCTTCCGTGTGTTCTTTGGAGCAGGGACCCTGTCTGTGCAGCAAACAGCACCAGCGATCCTGGCCTGAGCATGGCTCTGCCCATCACTGCCCTGCAACCAATAACAGGGCGGTCCAGCAGCACCTCATGGGACCCCTCGGGGTGGTTCAGTCCCCACGCTCCCCACACCGCCTCGGGGTGGTTCAGCTCCCACATCCCCCATGTCCCCTCGGGGTGGTTCACGCGTCCCGCCATCCTCTTCTGCTCCCACCAGCTTGGCCCCTCTGGATCGGTTGTGCTCCTCGTTGAGGGTAATTCAGTTTCTCCCCTCTCCGTCCCTATGGTTGGTACGGTCCCCTTGTAACGCTCCCTTCCCCCCCCCCCAGCTGCACCCGCGGTTGGTCCGCCCCGGCCCGCTTCCGGCCTGCGCCGGGCCTGGTTCCGGTGTCCGCCCTCCGGCTCCTCCTGCCGTCGCTGCTGCCGCCGCGATGCTGCTATTGTCCCGGTCCCGCTGTCTGAGCGGGGCGCTCGGCCGCTCGCTCTGCGCCCTCCGGCAGGTACCGCCCGTGGGGGGGCCCAGGGGGGAAGAGGGGTGGACGGGCAGCAGCCGCCGCCGCAGCCCCAAGGGCACCGGGACGCGGTGTCACGGCCCCGTGCTGGGCCGTCTCCCGGAGAACTCCTGTGCCCGCTCCCCCCGCCGGCATCCCAGCCCGCCCCCATCAGCCGCTCCCCCGTGGGGCCCCCACGGGCTTCCTGCCGTGC